GCTGGTCTCGAACTCCTGACCTTAGGTGATCTGCCTGCCTCAGCGTCCCAAAGTGTTGGGATTACAGGCATGAGCCACCATGCCCGGCCCCAGCTAATTTTTTTTTATTTTTTGTAGAGACAGGGTCTTGTTATGTTGCCCAGGCTGGTCTTGAAATCCTGGGCTAACATGACCCTCCCACCTCAGCCTCCCAAAGTGCTGGAATTACAGACATGAGCCACCGTGCCTCGCAGAGCAGATGGTTTTCAAATGGTCATTGGGTAGAAAGACCTCAGTCAAGGTTTGCATCCTGCTATGGTAGCTGTTGTTAGCTAAGCATGACCTGGGTCAAGTACCTGAAGCTCTTTGAGCCTCAGTTTTTTCCGTCTCTAAAATGGGTATACTGCCACCTACTTGTAGGATTGGGTTGTGCAGATGAAATGAGATGTTTGGGCATTGCAAGCCCTTGGCCAATGGAATAATACATTGCTGTTTTTAAATGTCATGAGTCGGGGGCCAGGGCCGTGGCTCACACCTGTAATCCCAGTGCTTTGGGAGGTCAAAGTAGGAGGATCATTTGAGGCTAGGGGTTTGAGACCAGCCTGGGCAACATAGCGAGATCCCATCTTTAAAAAAAAAAGAAAGGCCGGGTACAGTGTCTCATGCCTGTAATCCCAGCACTTTGGGAGGCTGGGGTGGGCAGATCACAAGCTCAGGAGATCGGGACCATTCTGGCTAACACGGTGAAACCCTGTCTCTACTGAAAATAAAAAAAAAATTAGCCGGGCGAGGTGGCGGGCGCCTGTAGTCCCAGCTACTCGGAAGGCTGAGGCAGGAGAATGGCGTGAACCCGAGAGGCGGAGTTTGCAGTGAGCCGAGATCGCACCACTGCACTCCAGCCTGGGCGACAGAGCGAGACTCCGTCTCAAAAAACAAACAAACAAGCCGGATGTGGTGGCGTGCACCTGTAGTCCCAGCTACTCTGGAAACTGAGGTGAGAGGATTGCTTGAGATCAGGAGGCAGAGGTTGCTGTGAGCTATGATCACACCACTGCACTCCAACCTGGGTGACAGGGCAAGACCCCATCTCTACAAATAAATAATTAAATTACATAAAATAAATAAATTTCAGGAGTCAGGACCCTTCCTCTGAGCAAGCCTCTGATAGCCCCAAATCGAATCACATGGTCTCCACTATCCTCACGGAGCGAATTGGAGAAGATAGACGATTAAGCCCAACCATTATAATCAAGAATGCTAGAAGGTTCCAGCCAGCAGGCTGGGGAAGATCTGCGGGGGAACAGATTACACTGTCCAAAGAATATCAGGGAGGGCTTCCTGGAGGAAATGGCAGCAAGTGAAAGTCTGAGGACTGAGTAGGGGCTGGCTAGGCAGATACTGCAGGTAAGCATATTCCAGGCAGTGAAAGAACAGGACATCTAGAAGTCTGCAGGCTGGAGAGCTCATGGCGCCTTTAAGCAACTGGCCAGTGTTCCTATGGCTGGAGGTGTGGACAGTTGGGGAACACGAGTCTGGTTGGCCAAAGCATAGATTTAATCAACAGTGGTGGTAGGAAGGGCAGTGATTGGCTTTCAGAAAGATTATTCAGCTTGCTGGCTGGGCGCGGTGGCTCACGCCTATAATCCCAGCACCTCGGGAGGCCGAGGCGGGCAGATCACATGAATCCAGGAGTTTGAGACCAGCCTGGCCAACATGGCAAAACCCCATCTCTACTAAATATACATAAATTAGCCGGACATGGTGGCACGTGCCTATAATCCCAGCTACTCAGGAGGCTGAGGCACAAGAATCGCTTGAACCCAGGAGGCGGAGGTTGCAGTGAGCCGAGATTGTGCCACTGCACTCCAGCCTGGGTGATGGAGTGAGACCCTGTCTCAAAAAAAAAAAAAAAAAAAAAAATGTATTAAGCTTGCAGAGCAGAGATGGGCTTGGATGGGGCCAAGATGCAGGCAGGTGGCCCAGCCAGGACACCCATGCCGATGACCTGGGGGAGCTATGATGGGGACCACCACCAGGGAAGGGGAAGGAGGCTGCAATGCACAGAAATGGAGGGTCCTTGGGGTTCACCATTCACAGGACTTGGTGCCTGATGGGAGAGGGAGGGGCAAGGAAAGTGCCCGGGCCTCCAGCTCTGGTGACCAAGTGGATGATGAGAATAGAGACTCAGGAAGAAGAGGCAGATTTGCTAGGGGGTGGGGGCACAACCTTGCTGCCTACTCACAGGCCTCCCTGCTTCCCCAGAGCCCACCGTTCCCCCATTGCCGTGTTATCCACCCAACTGCCTGCATCCCATGGTTCTCTTTCAAAGAGGTTCAGATCCCAGGGAAGGCACGGGGCTAAACTCCAGTCCTGGTTCTGTGATCCTTCACCCGGGACTTCCCATGACATCTGGACTAATTCCTTCACTTCTTGCATCTCAATGTCTTTTTGTTTTTTCCTCATTCTGTCACCCAGGCTGGAGTGCAATGGTGTGATCTTGGCTCACTGCAATCCCCACCTCCTGGGTTCAAGTGATTCTCTTGCCTCAGTCTCCTGAGTAGCTGGGACTAAAGGTGCACACCTCCATGCCCGGCTGATTTTTTTATTTTCAGTAGAGACAGGGTTTTACCCCATTGCTCAGGCTGGCCCAGGCTGGGCATGTTGGCCAGGCTGGTCTCAAACTCCTGACCTCAAGTGATCTGCCCACCTCGGCCTCCAAAGTGCTGTGATGACAGGTGTGAGCCACTGTGCCCGGCCCCTCAGTGTCCCCTTCCATAAAACGACAAGTGTGGGTACATGAATTGCCCTTTATGGCTTAACCATAACAGACCCTCCTTCCTTAGTGCAGTGGATGTTGTGGAAAGTCACTGAGATCCCCAGAGGCTGTGGGAGAAGGAACTGTCAGCTCTCAGCCCCCTTCCTGGGCAGCCCATCGGCAATGGTTGATTGACAAGGGAGTATAAAGGCTTGACCATTTCAGCCCGGCTCCATCTGAGTCTGCTTCCTGAAGACCCAACACACACAACCTGACCGTCTTGGTCCCTGGTGGAGCTGGAGCTGAACTGTGTTCATGAGACATTTCCCCGGCCCCTGCCCTCTCAAGAAGCACCTCCTAGATGCCACATCTTCCACCCCAGGAGACCTTCCGTGAAGCAGCCTGGAGGCTGTCACCGGGACCTTTGCCAAGACCTCAGTCCCAGCCAGCCACACACCATTAGGGCTTGATGTTAACTGTGCCCCAACTCCATCCAGGGACCTCAAGCTTTCAGGGTCTTTCTTTTGAGACTGGAGCCTGGGGGCTGGCCTCCCCCACAGGCCCCTGACATAAGCGCTTGGAGAAAGTGTGTGAGAGCAGAGGGTACGGACGCAGACTGAAGAGTCAGACTGGGCTTGAATCCCAACTCTGCCATGATGGGAACTTAGGCAAGTCAGTCTACCTTTCTGGG